CTAGCATATGAAGCAGAGAGAGATGTGGAAAAGGCAGCCACTACATCGGCGAATCCTTCGTCTCCGTCGAAATCTTCTAGCTGCAAATGCGATGCATTCCTGCAAGCTGCATCGTTGTCTCCTGCCACTGAAGAGCATTTTAAGTCATTGGCAGCTATGGATCACGCAGGTTGTTCCGAAGAGATTCACGTTGATGATAGTCCACCCACCAAGCGCTTGAAGACGTGGTATGCCGGCCAGTTGGCAACTTCTGCGTCTACGTCAGGGCCGGGGCCTTCCGGTGCTATGTCTGTTTCTACACCACAGCCGGTGGCCTCAGATTCTGTGTCTCTCACTACATCAGACCCGGCGCCTTCAGATTCCGTACCTGCCTCAAGGTTTAAATATGGACAGTGCCCGCATTGCTCCGTGGCGCTCCATGTCGCAGTACCTCTGTCTGGTAGATGTCGGTCGCAATTTGTGCTGCGCTGCAACAACTTCAACAAGTACGAGAACAACACTAGGCGTTGCTGGTTCACTACGCAGTTCACTGGCGATGTGGCGTCACTGCCACAGACAGTACGCGCCAAAAGAGATCAGCTTCTGGGAGATTTGACTACCCATTTCCGTCGGTAGACAATAGCGACTTGCAGAAAGTGTTCCATGATAGTAGCAGATGGATGCGGCAAAGTCGTTTCATGTTTCCAACCTCAGACCTGGCTGCCTGGATGAAAAGGAAAGTCTGCCTCAGTTGCTTTGTTTGACCACAGTCGTTAATTGGGAGATGCTCACTGGTGTGATGTGTTTGCGTGGCTCATTTTTGTGTAATGGAATGGATTTCTAAAACGGCTTCGATTTCACCCTTCCGTCTTTTTTATGGTCATCTTCATCACTTCACCATCTTAGTATCATCATCATCCTCATCCTCATCATCATCATCATCAGCATCATCATCGTTATCATCATCCTCATCATCATCCCCATCATCAGGCCGTTGGGGACCGTTTGTTCGGTGCCAGGAGTTGCAGCGAGCAGGTTGTCAAGAGCCGCAGCCCAAGGAGAAGCAGGTCAAACAGTTCATCAAAAACATTATGGCTCGTCACGACAAGGCGCTTTTTTTTTTTTCGCACAAGCGCTATGTTGCAGCCATGTTGCAGAATTCAGTATTGCCATGTTCGTGAGCAGGTCAAAGAAAGCAGAGCCGGTCTCACCAGCGGTGGCGAGTGGAACCTGGCTGACTGGCAGACATTGGTTGCAACACTTCCGAAGTTAGAGGATGCGTGCATGAGTGATGATGTCCCTTTGGTTGTGGCCGGCGCAACTTTGGGACCTTTTCTGTCTATCACCTTTGTTTCCCCGAAGCTTCTTCGTGTCATGCCTGCACTTGTCAGCGAGTTTTGTTTGGCAGAGTGATTTTGGATGTTTATCTGTAAGACTGCATCCGCTGAAAGTCGCTCTTTATGTACGGCAGCTCTGGCGCACCTAATCTTCTGGCTGCGACCGCGCAAGAGCATGTTATTGCACATATATCAGCGCAAGTTTCGCTGGTAGTGGTTAGCGAGCTTTTGAGACAGATCAGGATTGGCTCTTTTTTTTTTTTTGGATTTGCCTGAGGTCAGACTTGGGAGTCCATCGCAGAGCCGGAACATCTTCGTGGTTGTACAGATGGAGCTTGGCGTGTGACTCGCCAGCGGCACGCACTAGTTTCATTTGGCCTTCTCGGTCTTTCCTGGGACTCTCACCACCGTGCCTATCAAACGAAATTCCATGAGATGGCCTTGGCCATAACCAACACAGAATCGGCCGATGCCTGCTTGGATATCTTCCGCGCATGGTCCCGTAGCATGCGGTTATGCTGTGGGGTGGAAGATGTGGAGCAGCGTGTCCGTGCGGTGCACAGTGACTTCCACAAGGGGATTCGGAGAGCTATATCAGATTTTTTTCCTTTGGCAGAGAAGCTCCTGGACTGGAGTCATCTAGTAGGAGATCCAAGGGACCTTGGTCGCAGGCGTTTAGTTTTGGGGGACGGGGTGTGTTTGTGCATAAGACTGCAGTTTTCCAATTCGATACGTGGTTGAACATATCTTTCCCTATGCAGGTGCTGGACGAAGACGTCATTGTGTGGAGAACCGGGATCTGGCGCACGTGCACGAAGTATTTGAAAGCTCGACAAAAGATGCTCCCTGTGGTGAAGAGGCTTTTCTTTGCTTCCAGATTTCTACCAAGTGCTCCATTCAGCGCTTTTTGGGGCCACAGTTTCGAGCACCTGCAGTCGCAAGGTGAAGGACAGCTGGTTGAGGTTCTGAGAAGACACTACTTCACCTACTGCGATGGCCAGTGGAGTTCCGATTGGAACGGCTCTCCAGACCGTTTGGGTCTAGCCACATTCTGTGGCAGCCAGCCGCAAGAGTCATGGCATCGTCATCGGCTGAGACCTACTCTGGCCAATTTGTATTTGCCCGTGAACAGCGTCGTTCATAGAATCAGCTCTTTACTTAGCAGCCGTTGCCAGCAGAAGGATGTGTCCGCTGAGCGACTCCTATCGGTTCCATCAGGTCACTGGAGTAAGCGATGCGCGGAGGAAGCAAAATTTTACCTTCAGCACAAGCATTTCCTTTGTGCGAAGTCTGGTACTTCGTGGGCCATGCGAGTGGAGTGCGACTCGCAATCCTTTGAGAAGCTCAAAACCCCCGTGTACGTGGATTTGGTGGAAATTCTCCGCAAAATCTATCTGACAGACCAGCCGGAGCTCTCTCTGCAGGCCATGTTCATGCTTCCTGGATGCTCGCAGACCTCAACCTCAGAGCAACTTGCGGCGACTCTGAGCAAGTTTTGCCTGGTGCTATGTGATCCCCAAGAGGCACGTCGATACTGGAACTGTGCCGGTGGCGCGGATGACCCCACAGTGGCGTGGCATGGTGCAGCTGCATGTCTTGGTTGCCCAGAGAGCAGTATCCGCGGCACCTGTCCACACACCTATGTGACGTTCATTGAATCAGGTGCTTTGTCATTACATCGTATGTTGATTTCTGATCCTGTGTTATCACATGATAATGTCGTTTATCGAATTCCCCTGGCTGGTCTAGTGGCTTTTTTTTGGCAGGTCAGCTGCAGTTGGATGTTCCTTGGAAGCAGCCTGCTCGTGGCAAGAAGAGATCCCGGCAGCCAGTTCCTGAGCAAACCTCAGAGTCTGAATCAGAGTCGTCTCCCGCAGCGGCCAGTAGCAGTCGCATGCCCGTTTCGCAGCAGGCCAGGTGTTTTTGGCCAGAGCTGAGTGTCTGTGTTTCCTTGCCTTGTTGAAACAGTGTGTCTCCGGCGTATCTTCAGTGTACATGATTACTGCGTGACTGAGCCATTGTTTACAGATGTTATGCAGACCCAGGTTTTCAACATGTCCCTTTCCTTTCATAGTTTCACTATACGTACTCGTCTTTCTGCCAGGACGCGCCCCCGGCATCTGCAGCCACTCCGAAGGTATCTTTGTGGCGAGGCATGAATAAGCGACAGCGACTGGCAGCACTCAGGCAAGTTCACGGAGCTGGTGATTCAGGAGCTTTTCTTGTTTCACTGTCTATCTAAGCCGTGGATCCTTCCGCGGCATGGCTTGAAATTTCCCAGACATTGTACCATCATTGTTCATGTTTCATTGCGGGCGCGCAAGAGTTTGGAAAGTTGCGTGGCAGGCTTCACGCAAGCCATTGTTTGTTGAGCCAGTGGGTCTTTCCTTCATTTTGCAGGAGTCAAGCAGAAAAAGCAGCTGCCAGGGCCATCGCAATGTTTGTGAGATCCGCTGACCATGCCCTTCTCTGATTGGCATGCCTCTCTGGGACTTGAGTTCTTCGTCGAATTCCCGCGCTTGGAAAAAAGCAATCATGCCTGTCGGCTCAGTGCATTTTGTGGTTTCTTGCAGGACCCACTCTTGGCTTGACTTCTTGGCTATTGTGTGCGAGCGCGAGCACGCATGTATACCAATGTAGAGCATTCTATCTACCAGTTGCTGGTACACAGTTCCTGTGATTGAGATCGTATCTCTTTTTTTTATATATATAGTACAAGCATGGCAGGTAATGCTGATCCCTCGCCACAACCCCTATCTCATCTACCCAGTTTAAGTCTTGTGGAGGATAAAGACATTGACTCGCGGTTTAACTGTTTCGTCCGGCTGATACACGCTGATCTTTTTTTTCTCCGCAAGATAGGATGGTATAACACTATTTCACGCAGTGTTTTGTGTGTATGACCCTCATGTAAGCCATTGCCACACGCCCATTCTTGCCCTTCTGATGCCGCCACTTCCATCCACCTACCCCATCTCTTGTGTGCGTTCCTTTCTGGACCCCACCCCCCCCACCCACCCCACCCACCCCTTCTGATGCCGCCACTTCCATCCACCTACCCCATCTCTTGTGTGCGTTCCTTTCTGGACCCCACACCCGCCCACCCCACCCACCCCACCCACCCACCAAGCCACCCCACCCACCCACCCACCCACCCACCCACCCACCCACCCACCCACCCCCACCCACCCACCCACCCCCCCCACCCACACCACCCACCCCTTCTGATGCCACCACTTCCATCCACCTACCCCATCTCTTGTGATGCCACCACTTCCATCCACCTACTTGTGTGCGCTCCTTTCTGGAACCGCCCACCCCACCCACCCCACCCACCCACCAAGCCACCCCACCCACCCACCCACCCACCCAACCCCAACCAACCACCCACCGCCCCCACCCACCCACCAAGCCACCCCACCCACCCACCCACCCAATTCCATGCATCTAGAGCTCTGTGTGCGCAACTGATCCAAATATGTGTGCGTAACTGAGCCAGAACTCAGGGGGGTTTTGTGTGCGCAACTGATCCAAATTTGTGTGCGCAACTGATCCCCCGCCCTCCCCTTTGGGGTGTGTCCTTTTTCGGGAAAACCCCTCGTGTTGGTTGGTTTTACAGGGGAAACCAGCAGGACAACCACCACCTTTAGGGCGGAACAGGTCCAAGCCGCCCATTTGCCACAGGCTGGCAAGCCATTGCCTGACTGGGTCTATCCATTGGTGGCTGCCTGGTCGCAACCGGCGCGTTTTGGGGTGACTGGAGCAGTCGCCGCTTGAGAGCGAGCGCCCGTGTTTGGATTTTTCACGCACATCCGCCACCATGTCCAAGGCTTCCGAACGCGAGATACTTCACCCGTCCTTCTTTCTGGAAGCCCATGCTCCCGATATGCCCAGATTTGTTTTGCAAGTTTGCTGGAATTCAATTCACCTTTTGAGATAATTCACCGCCAGAGAAAAAGAAACACGTTTTGCAGCTTCCCAGGGTGTTAACTGCAGGTACTGCAGCAGAGTACGGACAACGTGCCAAGGCTCGCTTTACCATCGGCATCGTCCCGCAAAGTGTGAAGTCATGCTGGCGTGGAGCCTATGCGATGCTCATGAAGCCGCAACTTGCTGGCACCTGTTCCCTTGCCGCTGGGTGACTTTACAGGGTCGCTTGCAAGTGGGGGACTCGAGCTTGCTTGCTTTGTGATGTCTATTCTGGGGAAATTGGGGGGGGGGGATGCTTTTAATGAATGGAGACAAGGAGCAAAATAACCTCTGCTTCACTGTTCTTGGCATGTTTTTTTTTCCTTTTTTTCCCCTGTTCATTTTTACTGGAGGTCTGCAAACAGTTGTTTGCTACCATACCAAGAGTAGAGATGTTTGTTTTCAGGGGGATCTCACTTTCTGAGTTCCTGGGCTTGAGTCACTTTTGGGCCTGGACCACTTTAGTGGTATATTTAAGCAAATTAGTAGCTTTTTTGGCCAACTCGCTGGATCAGAAGTGAGGTTTTGGCCGATTCCTTCTGGAAACGGAGGTGTTGCATGATCCACCCCACGTTTGCTTGAAATGCAGCTGTTCTTCGGAAAAGGCCTTGCGTTTTTCTTTTGTTTTTGAGGGGGGCTGGTTTAGGGGGCCCGTTTGTCCGGTGGCGTCATGTTCATTTCGGCGTTTGGTTGAGTGGGTGCCACACTTAAAAGGGTCCACCCAAAGAAGGCGTAGTTTTCACCCAACAAGTCACTGGACATTTGGGGAGCCAGGCTCCACATGCCCTGACGATGACTTCCACCGGTAGTTTGCATTTTCCATTTTGTGGGGAGGACTGGAACACTGTGGGATTTGCCTCGGAAAATCCTTCGTGCATGCGGGATCCTATGATCCCTTCAAACTTGCCCTTTTCAAGAACAAGTGGCTTGCTCCCAGGTTTTGTGCCCTACGTTAGAACTAGGTCCCCCTGAAGTGTCCTTTCTCACCCTTTTTGGGGGAAAAATCCCCTACTAAAATAGATAAAACCGAAAAACATGGTACCAACTTATTCTAACCTCTCAAATCTGGAGGACCTCGAGAAGGTCCGGGCATCCTGCTCATTAGAGTTGTTTGAGCGGCCGGGCCTTGTGTGCTGCGGTGAGTTTTCTCAAGCTCAACTAGGGGGGAAGCGGCATATTTTGTGCTCCGGGCGCTCGATCCATGTCTGAACTGTTTGCATTTGCTGGTTTTGAAGCTCTGGTTCTCGTGGAGGGTAAATGGGAAACCTCTCCTTAACCAAACCGAACTCTAAACCACCAATTGCACAGGGGTCACACAGAATTTCCCTGCAAAGGTTGCAATTTATTGGTGGTTTTCTGATTTTCCCTCCTGGCTGGATTGGGGTTTTGATCTCCCTGGTTCTTGTAGAAATGGGAAAACACCCGGGAACCACACAGTCTCCTCACTTCCCCATTCTCAACCACGCCAGGCTGCGGCACATCTTCGGCTGAGACGAGAGATGGACGCCAGCGTGGCTGCCTCTTTTTAAAACCACCCGCCCTAGGCGCAGACATCTGGCCCTGGCAAAGCGCCGACCACATGGCGTTTTTCCCCCGCGGGAGGAAGGTGTTGGGCGCTGCTCATGGCCTTCTGGCCCTCAGGCTTCCTTAGCTACAGGGCCATCCCGATCTCGGCTAGCAAAAGGCGCCACTTTGCCAAACAGCAGGGTTTAAGTATGCCGTCGCTTCTTATCGGGTGGATTGCGATGTTTGAGGGGCCATGTTCTGCAAATCGGCTGCCGGCCGAGCTGCTTGGCTTCAGCCAACTCTGGCGGCTTATGCGGCGCGCATGTTCTCGCCGCACAATGCGGCACCGCGGTTTCCCGCCCACGGTCAAAACTGAGGGGCGGAGCTTGGCTGCTATGGCCTGCTATCATGTTCCCAGGGCAATTCCCCACGCTGGCTCCCAGCTTTTAGCTGCTGACATAGCTTAGCCAAACAGTAGTCGGGGTTTTCACTGACACCAAGCCTTACTGAGCGCACGTAGTGTTTAAAAGTTTTCAAAAGGAACCAAAGGAAGAAGTACATGGGTGTGTTTTCCCTGCCATCCTTGCGACGATGGCAGGCTCTTGGTGCGTGTCAAGACTGAATGATTGAACCGGGCAAGAATACCAAAGGCTTGTCCAAAGCGCCTGTCACGAATGCTTTTTCCTGACCCAGGGCACGTGAGTCAGTGCAACTGAGAGTTGTGCCACCATTCGGATAGAAGTTTCGCTTCCGGTGTTTGCACAACCCGGTCAACAAGGGGTTCAGCTTTTTTGAGTTACCCTTTTTCGCCTTAAAGGGAAGCCTTTTCAGATCCAAAAGGATAAACCAACTGGATTCCAAGTCAATCTGCAGTGTTTCTTTTCTGTGGCATTTTTGGACTAGGAAATATTGGAAAATGGGATTCACCCATTTAGAACAACCCAAGATCCACTCCTTGTGCAACTCCGTAGCCATGGCGTTGCCGCGTCCACTGGTGGAGGCTTGCTGGGAAATGCCTTCGGCCAACGAGATTTAAGGGAAAGCTAGGGACACCTTCCCACGCTTTAAAGTAACAGTTTGCAGTGCTCGAGTCCCCTTGCAGTCGTGCGCGAAAAAAGCACGAGCTTCCACATGTCGTTCACGTAGCATGTTTGGAGCAATGCCATCCGAACATCCTGGACTCTCGGGAGCGGATCGGACTTGCCTGGAGTTGTTTTTTTGTTTTCGTGTGTATTATGTATATATATATATATTATGAGAACTCTATAGGGGTTGACGCCCGCAAAAGGGGCTTGGTGTCCTGAAAGGAACAGTGGGGGGAGAGGGGCGAAAATGGCACAGCCTGCATGGCTGGAAGAGATCGTAGTACTGGTTCACCTGGGTTATGAGGCGTTCAAGGGTCAGCTTTGCCTTGACTTGAGCATGCGCAGGTGCTGAATGAGGATGCGCTGATTCGCATTTGCCGCTATCTTCCGGCCCGGCCTTTGCTGGTGCCGGGGCTGCAGTGAGGAATTAGATGTGGGGATCGAAGCGCGTAGGCCACTTGAGCCAGCTTGCACCAGGCACAGCGTTCCGCCGATGGACGGCAATTCACTGATGTCACCTTGCAGTATGCAGCTTCGGCGGGCATGCATGCAGTCGGGATCCAGTGCAACTCCGCCAGGGCATGCACAGCACTTCTCCAGCAGGTATTGGTTGGTTTTTTCCTTTGGTACGCGGCATGCGTCCTGCCCTTGCTTCCGCATCTTCGCGAGCAACCAACATGTGCATTATCATCATCAGCATTTGCGCCGTCACCAAGAGCATCATCATCATCATCTTCATCTTCATCTTCATCTTCATTCTATTTTCATCATTCTCATCCTCATCCTCATCCTCATCCTCATCCTCATCCTCATCCTCATCATCCTCCTCATCCTCATCCTCATCATCCTCATCATCCTCATCCTCATCCTCATCATCATCATCCTCATCCTCATCATCATCCTCATCATAATGATCATCATCATCATCCTCATTGTCCTCCTCCTCCTCCTCCTCCTCCTCCTCCTCCTCCTCCTCAGCATCATCATCGCCATCATCATCATCATCATCATCATCATCATCATCATCATCATCTTCATCTTCATCTTCATCTTCATTTTCATCTTCATTTTTATTTTCATCATCCTCATCCTCATCCTCATCCTCATCCTCATTCTCATCATCCTCATCATCATCATCATCATCATCATCCTCATCCTCATCATCATCCTCATCATCCTCATCATCATCATCATCCGCATTGTCCTCCTCCTCCTCCTCCTCCTCCTCCTCCTCCTCCTCCTCAGTATCATCATCGCCATCATCATCATCATCATCATCATCATCATCATCATCATCATCATCATCATCATCATCATCATCATCATCATCATCATTTGTGTCGTCATCATCACCACTGGCGTCAAAACCAAACTCTGCATCGCCACTCGCAGCTCACATGCACATGTGACCACATGTGAACGCATAAATATCCTGGCGGCGCTAAGACCGTCCCACGAAATGGGACCGAACACAGTTTGAACACATGAACATACATGCATACATGTTCATTCACCTGGTTTGTACGAACCCTGCCACCCAAAGTTCAGCCTTAAAGTCCTGAAGCTTCACCCAGGCTCATGTTCTTATCTTGCCTTCTGCCGGCAAGCTAGGCAGGTGTGAGAATGACGGAAGAGGAGTTTGTCCAAGCTCCCCCATTTCGCAGGATGTTGGGGTGACTTTTAAGGGGGTGCCTTCACTACGTGTTATTTCAGGGGCTTATGAAACAGAACCGAGTGACCCCGGCAAAGCATGGTCAAAGTCACACCGGTGGAAGGTTAAAAGAGAGACAACCCCAGTTTCTGACCTTGACAACCCCAGACACACTCAAAACTTGGTGGTTCCCAGCCATCCCTCAAATTTCTACCTTAAGCGTTTATTTTGCGGGATTTCCGAATGTAACCCGCTAAAAGTCAGAACGTTTTGGCAGGGGATGCGAGGACAGCCCGGCAAAAAGACTTTGTATTGGACTTTGGTCGCTTCGCAACTCGAGGACCTGGGCGCCACATGCGCGGAGTTTCATCACCGCGCCCAGAACTCGGCGGAGCTGTGGAAGGATCCGAGCCGTCGGGGGGGGGGAGGGCCGAGGGACCCATGGCGGTGATGGACGTTTGGACTTATTGGGAGGACTGTTGTCGTGGCGAACCTATGAACATGAAAGTTCGGGCTTGTTTTGCGCCAACTCAGAAAGTGAGCGACTCAGGAAGTGATGTTTGGTCCCTCAGTCTCCCTCTTGTCCTCCAAAAGTTCTGTGGCAAGTATCGAAAGAAAATAGTAACAGGCTCTAAGTGTCCATTTGTCCACTGCAAGCCTGGCACAGAGGTTGCTTTACTTTGTTTTTTAGGTAGCCCCCAATTGGAACCCCTGGTTCTTGTGGAGGGTAAATGGGGAACCCCTCCTTAACCACCAAACCACCGGACTCCGAGCCACAAATTCGGGGGAAGCTGGGTATGTGCTCGTATTCGCGCCTTAGGCCACTGGATAAAAACCTCGTCCCCAGGATCTGTGTGCCTTCCTCCTGGGCGACACCACGCTGCTCTTGCACGAGGCTGCCTGGTCAGAGGACGGCGCGGAAGCCCAGCTTTGGGGGGAGTAAGGGAGTCGGGGTAGGGTCGCAATGCCCCGAAGTAGCTCTGTATTCGTGAAGTGGTGCCCTTAAAAGCGTTAAAAGGTTGTGAAATTGGAGTTATATATAGTCTTTCCCAAGGGGCGAAGAGGGTGGTATACATGACGCCACCGAAAAAAACAGCGACGTGACCACATGCAAGCTACGCCTCTCAAGCCCTTGGCCTCGGAGCATCGCGGTCAGGAAGAGACTAATCGGAGATTCTTACCCCCAAGGCAGGTTTTCTAGGGTTTGGATGTGGCTCTTTGGTGGCTGTTTGTTTTCTTTTTCACGGCCTGCGGGTCGTTTTTTTTTTTCAACCCGGGGATAGTGGAAGCCTTCTTTGTGTCGCCGATCGGGATTTGTCCCAGAAAGCCTGGTATGAAATCCCTTGCGCAGGAAGACATGTGGAAGCCCTCCGATACTACCTCCTTCCAACTAGATGAATGCTTAAACCGTGGTTGAAACAAGGGGTTCAGTCTTCGACACCTGTTTAAATGGGATGGCCTGAGCCGATTCCACCTGGCCCATACATTCGCACTTTGGTCAAACCAGGGGTCTCCGAACATATTGTTCTTCTCAGGATAGGCTAATCTGCTAAACTAGGCAGGCAGCATTTCAGCATATTTGTGCCAGCATTTTGTTGAACGCTCTGGGCGACATGGGAGCGGTCCCAGGCGACAGGGCGGGCTTCTACCAGCGCCTCTTCCGGGCGGCGTGGAGCTGTGAGGAGTTCTGCTACGACCACCAGATGCGCCGGAGCTTGCTGGCGTCGCTGACCAAAGAGGAGGCGGAAAGCCACCCTCAAGCACACCACACGCCGCCACCCCTTTGGAAGACTCAACTAGGCCAACTCTCGGGGTGTTGTTTTAGTATGGGTGTTGTTGTCTTTTTTAGTATGTTGTGTTTTGTTTTTGTTTTTTGGCGGAGATATCTGTATTTGTTTTTGTTTTGGTCTGTGTTGCTGTCCTTTTTCTTTTGTTTTCTCTTCCGTTTTTTTTTTTTGGGGGGGGGTGGGGGGGGAGGGGAGCCGCGAGGCGGAGATGCTGTGCATGTCCGGGCACACCTCCGAGAGCCTGGGGCACTTGGTGCTCCAGCCGCCCGGAAGCGGGTAGATCAAGCCTAGCTGTGGCCCAACAACCCCAAGAATTTGCGTGATTTCTAGGGGTTAGCTGATTCCCCATTCTTTTCAACCATGATTTAAAAAAAAAGGATCTGTTTCCAACCTGGGTTTTTGATGGTTTGCTGACCAATGTCCACCTCTGATGAATCAAAGTCACCCTCCCCAAGCTCCAGTAGATGAAAAAACAACCGCGGCGTTGTTCCAAGTTGCGTATTCGAAGTGATCCTTTTCGGAGTTGGAGTCCAGGAAGTCTAGCAATACCTCCAAGGTCACGTGCACGAAATTTGATTCCATTTTTTGGCGCCGCCGGCGTCAGTCCCCAAACTCTCGGAGTCCAGGTTCATATGAGAGTTTCGCAGAAAGCCTCAGGCCAAAACGGATCAGAAAGGGTACCCCCGCCCCCACAAAGTCCGTTTTGCACTACACAAACCATACTCTCAATAAAGCTAATGATCTGGGTCACTGCCTGGAGATCGATCCAAAGCAAGTCAAAAAATAGCGATGCCCTGTTTGATGTAGTATTATTGCCACATAAAGTGAATGATCCGGGTCACTTCCTGGACATGCATCCCAATACAAACAACCATTCCCCTTTTCAAGAGTACTGCCAAGCTTCTTGGCGTTTGACACGAATACAGAACCAATTCAAAAGTAGTATTGCCAGCACTGCCCCGCTTAAGGTAGTTTGACCGCAGTACAGAACCCATTCAAAAGTAGAACTGCAAGACTTCCTGGAACCTGACCATAGTTGGTGTATGATGAGTTTTGAGAACGTTTTAGATAAAGAAAACGTCAGAAAATGGACACCCAGGAGTTGTGTTGTGTGTTGGCATGTGGGCTGAGTCCAAAAAGAGTATTTAACAAGGTTAGCAAGCAGTTGGGGACAAGCAAGCTCAATTGAATTTACAGGTACTTTGTTATTTATGTTGGGGTTGCTTAGCTTGATTCAAGGGGTATTGATTAACCGTAGGATGGCAACAACCCAACTCGCAGCGCCTTCCAATGAAGACCTCCGGCCCAATTAATTTGTAGGTGATCCCTTCAAAAATCGACCGGACATTGCCCCTTTTCCCCAGTGGCTGGCGGTTGAAAGGAAGGCCTTGAGACTGCCATCATGTTTCTCCCCAGCTGGAAGCAATGGGGTCGATAGGCCCAAATAGACTCTGCGGTTGTTTGGGGCAGCTTTCAGGGAGAGTTTCGGAGGGTTCGGAGGGTTTCGGAGGGTTCCGGGGCTGTTGGGGATACTAAATGGGGGCTTAGCTTTTTGTAGGGTATTGAACCGGGGGATGGGTGCCACAATTCTTGGTGTGGCCACCCCTTTCCCGTGAAACCCGGTTCCCCGGCTTGGTCTCGCGAATTTACGGTTTCCGACTCGCACGGGTTTGCGTCGGTCTTCATAGGAAATGTAGACCCTGAGGCTACACCGGTTCCTTGACTCCCCGGTTGCCAGCCCATCTTGTGAGGCGCACACACACACACACACATATATATATATATATGTATACACATAGACACATACGTATATGTACATATATGCATATATTTTCATATGTACTGTATATATTTATTTGTGTTTTGTGGAGGGGGTTTGCATCCTGTCAGGATTGGCGGCATGCGGAACAATATTGCGGCGGAAGACGTGGTAAACGTCACGGTCATGAACCTGAATCTCCGCTGCAAGGGATGCAGTTTGCCGGGTATTTGACATACTGCCCATTATTTCTTTGGAAAAACAGGCAACATAGTCGCATGGCTCAACTGCGGGTATTTTTCAGCTTTGCCCTTGATCAGCGACAAGCTACTTCTGTTGGCAGGGGCAGTGATAACCTTCAGCAAGGGCACTGAACTGCTGGGACCTCATGGTGAGCGCTTGCACCAAGAATGGGTCATATTCTTCCACTTGGTTAAGAATATTCTTTATTTTCCACTGTTGGTTTTAAAGGGTATCTATCGCTACCTGAATTATCATTTATTTTTCCAGGGGACTTCAGCAAATGAAGGAACTGGTATCACCAGCGGATATTCCCCCAAAAGCATGGACTTGATCCCAGCAAGTGATGAACCCTGAAAAATGAGGTGTCATTTTTCTATCGTGGTCAGTGAGCTGGATCTCTCCCTCCTTGAGTTTCCGAACTAGCGGCAACACTTGAGCAGGGCTCCTTAAAAGATACACTTTGCCCAGTTGAAACATGGCTTCTTCCAGCAAAATAAGCGGACACCACCTCTTACAAGGCAATGTTCAGGTGTATAATGTAAGGATCTCATTGAGACGAATTCAGTTCCCAGAGGCTCCTGGGCTTTCAATGCAAGACCCGACCCCTCCATTAGACACTGCGGGTGGTTGGGGGTCTCAAAACCAGGTTGTTTGAAGGCCCTATACCAATCGAATTGGAGCCTCTGGGTTGTAAACAAACAGTTTTGACTTTTCGGGCCGCACTTCGAAGTGACACTCTATGGAAGGGCCGCTGAAGCCCATGTGTTTTGTTCGATTCTCTGGCACCCGCGGAAAATCAGGTAACGCCTGGTGGCGTTTGGATTGGTGCTTTGAGGATTTAAAGCCCTCGTCCTTGAAGAGGTTAAATCTCTTAACCACCCAACCAATTTACACCACCAATTCCAGGGAAGCCCCTGAAAATCAAAAACCTTCGGCCGCCCTTTTGGAGGGACGCTGCGAAAATCGGCGGATGACTCGGCCGAGCTGAGGCGTAGCTCCCAGATCTTCCGGCCGCACCTCACCGCGGACTCGCTGAAGCCTCTGCAGCGCATGCGCCACGCCAGCTGCGTGGTGCGGCCCTGCCTGCCACAGTCCGCGCCTCGCCTTTGCATGGGCGGGCGAGGGCGGGGGCAAAAGGGCAGGGGCCTGTTAAATAGGGTGATAACTCAATATTCTTATGCGGCCAAAAGGGTAGGGGCAAAAGCAGGGCGAAAACTAAATAGCCCTATATTTATCCCAAGCCATGTGCTGGATTCATGGGAAATCACCGGGTCCCGCAAGTAAGTTGGAGAACCGCTCAACATGTTCACTTAGTTTCTATCCCCTGTGGAAGCGCAACGTTGTTTGTCGCTTTTGGTCACAACCGAGTCTTTGGCCTCTGCACCATGCCGGTGGCAAACCAAACAGTTCGAGTGTTGTTCGGGCAATTCAGAAAGCGCGAGAAAAGCGATGCTGAAAGATTTAGAATCCGTTGCTCAGTGGATTCCCGTTAAGTTTAGGTCCCCCACTAAAAACAAGCAAAGGGGAATGTTGACCCCGTATTACCCAACCCCAGTTTGTCAATAGGGGGGTCACTTTTGGGGGGGGGGGGGAACACCCCCCTGTTAATAAACTGGGGCTGATTAATATGGGGTCGAGCCGCTCGCTTCAAAAACACGCACAAGCTCAACACGGACTGGTGTCAGCGAGGCCTTTGATGAGACCATCCTGGTGCTGGGCGGGCACGATGCCAACACCCGGTCCATCAGGCCTTGGGGGGGGGGGGTCCCCTCAACAACGCGTTCTCCGGAAAAAGGACAAACCGTCGGCGGAAATTTTTGTTGGTTTGGAAAGGACGGAAAAAGGGGACATCACCTCAAAGAATGGATTGGACATGGGGATATGGAACATGTCCTTTCCAAGGGCAACAACTATGGCCATGAACGTGGAACACTGGCAACAAAAAAAATGATAAAGCAGAATTGGGAAGGCGCTGTGATTCCTGTGAGTTCTCGAACATTGGTTTGGGCGGGATGTGGCGGTCCATGTTTGGTTCTACTTGCGGCTTCCGTTGTTTCCGGCTTTGGGATTATGGCCAACACTCCGTTTTGAACAGCTAGATGTCGTCGTTGTTTGACTTCACTTGGGGCTTCCGTTTCCTCTTGGCTTCGCGGTCAATCCTTGCTTATGTCAAATGCATGGTTTCCCTTGCAGGATTAATTGGAGGGGGTATGTATGGTCAGAACATGTCAGAACAGCTTTTTCCTGTGGTTGGCAGGAAATCACTATCGCTGCAGAAGTTGGGTAGGCCCACTTTCCGTGATACAGAAGCGGATCCCTGCCACAAGGTTTGTCCCAGTTGGTACAGAAGGGGTTCTGTCCCACAACCATGACAGTTTGAACGTTTCCCACGACCATGACACCTGGTCCCTCACCATGACACCCTCAGGGTTTTCCACAACCCTGACACTGACAGCCTGATTCCTTGTAAGGCAGCCATGACCCGCTCTCAGGCTGGGTATGCCCCGACCCTCGCTGCAGCGCTTGCTGTTTCTCCAGGTCGCAGAGGAAGATGGCCACTCGGAGAGTGGTCTTGGGTTGATTGAAGTGGCGGAGTCATCCTCATTAAATGGTGCCCGAAGGGAAACCGCCTGGTACCAACTGTTTTTTTTTGGGGGGGAACCCATCAACATGATGAAACCACAAGTTGGTGAGCAACTGCTGTGTTTGCTGTCCCTCAAGGACGGAATTTCGATGCGTCGGGGAGTCTCATGGGAGCAATCCTTGAGGAACTGTCCTGAGGATCCCAGATCCGCTGGAGTGAGCAGCCGGCCTTCGGCACAATCCCAGAATACATGCCGCTGGGCAAAGCCAATTGGCCTGGGTGTGTGTGTTGTTTGGGTGCCCTTTGTCACCTCAGTTGTTCAAAGCCGACCTTTTGACCTTTTGGTTTTCCCATTTTGGTCCATATTTAGTCATGGCCACAAGGTGATCACCTTTCAGTTCCAGGTCCTTTGGGCAACTGAGTCGCGCGTTGTCTTGGGGTCAGTTTTTATTTTGCCACTCAACTTTGGAAGAACTCCCTGAGTTGATTTGGATCGGCGCTGGCGGGAAACCTGAACTTGATGGGTCACAGGTGCGAAACTCGTCCCTGGCGCAGCTCGTATGCGACTTTCCCCCCGGTTTTTGTTCATATTCACGTCTGGTGGCCATAACCAGCGCCTTCTGGGTCTTTGTGCACGCGAGCATTTTTTAGACGCATATAAGGAACTCTGCTCACCGTTTTGCGGTCACCCCCAGCCCATCTCAAAGGACCCTCGCCCAGGTACAACTTGGCTTGTGCCTCCTTTGCCGGAGGGCAACGAGCCTCGTGGTTGCACATTTGCCCACATTCACCCTCCAATGGGGTCAAACACAAGGTGTAGATTACCTGTAGTGGGCATTGGATCATGCAAACCGGCCGGTCGAGAGGTTTTGCTTGTGCCCGGGTGTTTCGGGGGTTTAGTGGTGTTGTTGTTTTTCGAGCGGCGAGGGTGGCGAAAAGTAATATTTGTTTCCACCTGGACGGTACGATCCAAATCTGCATTGGTGCAGTGGTAGAATGTGATATTTTTGTTCACATACCTCTTAGGCCTTGTCATCTCCCAAGCTCCATGGGTTCATTTGAAGGACACCTCAAATGGGATGGATCCCGTTAGACCAAAAGACGACCAGCCTTTTGCCATGAGACTAGTGCCATGAGGTTTTCTCAGATAGCCGACACGGTTTATTGCAAAGGGGCCGCTGCAGATTGCCATCGAATTAGTTTACCCACCCATCTTTGCCCAGTGTGCCGTTTTTTTCCCCATGCCCCCCTTCGAAACCGGTGATGTTTTTTTTATCCGAGAAAAACAAGAAGGAAACAACCTCCGGATCGCCTCGCCCGCTCGCTCCGCCCGCCGGATCCGGGCCTGAGGTGTGCGTCTTTGGAGGGGACATCCCCACCATAGACGAGGAGTACGAGCGGATCCAAGACCGGACATGCTGCAGCTTCGTGCGCCTTGGCCAAGGCCATCCTCTTGGCTGAAGTTGCTCAATGCGCTCCACCCCGAATTGAAGGAACAACGGGGCGGGAAGGAGTCAGGAGGACCGACTTGGTTCGGTTCTGTTGGTGGGGTCGGGGGTGGCAATGATGAAATATTGGTGGGATCTTGTCACCATTCTCTTCACCAACCAATTGGGAATCCACCCATCTTGGAAGTCCATTGCTTTGGCCGAGCATCCTTTGGGTTTGTCACATTTTCGGCGGAGAAGGATCGCTGAGAGCAGGGACGCCGTGTGGGTTGCTTGGGTAGGTACCCTTTCCTAAAGCTGGCCTGAATGTAATACACAAGGGAAGGTTTGTTTTTTTTTGTTAGGGGGGGTGCAAATCCTTCTTTTGACACATACCTTTAAATGGGGCGTGCGCTGGGAAGGGGTCCTATCACCGATTAAACCCTAAAGCACGCCGCTTAGATCTGACTAGGTCACTAGGTGCTTACTCTTGGCTTATCCACTCTGTATCCAAGGTTGGAACCTCCAAATGAGATTTGGAACATGCAGAGCTTCCATTCGGCTTTCAAGGAAAACACACCCCATATGTGTGCCATGGTCAAAGCTGAATTTCCCATGCACAAGCACTTCTTACATAGTGCATCATATGGTAAAGACTATACCCAATGTTCTCCGGCACATGGCCTCACCTCCGCTCATTTTCGCCCAAGTCACCGCTGGCTAAATAGCGTCACGTGTTTTTGGGCCGCAATGGCTGCCCCTGCTCTGAATCAAGGGTGGGTTTTCTTTGGTTTCGTTTCAAAAGGGCCTTGGGCAAGCCAAAGCTTGGACCTGGGCCAAAGCGTGAAAGTTTTTACCCGGTGACCATGACTGCCTAAACCCTAGCTGCAATTTCCTTGGTTTCACCAGTCCTTCGGCTCCCTTTGTGAAAAGTGCACCCTCAAAAAGCAGAGAGACGAAGTCGTTTCCCTTTAATCCGAAAAGTGTACCCTCAAAAAGACGGAGAGACAGAGTCGTTGTCAGAGTCGTTTCCGTTTCAATCGCTGAAAACGCTGAAAAGTGTACCCTCAAAAAAAGGACAAAGCAGAGTCGGTTTCCTTTCAACTGCTGAAAAGTGTACCCTCCAAAAAGTCACCGGTCCTTTGGTTCCCCCTGTGAAACCCCTCAAAAAGTAGGACGCGCGGAGTCTGCCAGCGAGGTATGTCCTGGACCTTCCGAGTTCCACCTGGACCGCGGTGCGCACCCGCGGCCCGGCCCCCGACTGGCGCTCCTTCCACGCGGCGGTGGCCCACACCTCGCGCCTCGGGTGGCGCGCGCGCGCGGGGCGCGGGGCGCACGCTTGCGCGGAGTGCCGGGGGCATTTTGGCCACGCCACGGGTTTTTTCCGTTTCGTCGTGGCCCCGATTTCGCACACATTTTTTTAGAGTTTGATACTGCTTTGCTTTGACTACATTTGAAAATGGTTGGTGGAAATCAAGGCCCACCCAATGTCCACGAGAAAGTCCCAAAATAAGATCCAGACCGCATGTGACTGTGATTGAAAGTCCGTATGCCTTCTGGGCTGGTTTCAAGTGACCGCAGGCAGCCAACCTTTTTGTAGGGCTTCACGATTTGAAGAAATGCCAAGTGTTCAACTTCTGCGAACTACTGCAGTTACTAAACCGAATGCAAAGCACAAGTTGGATGTCTATGTCAAATGTGTTGGTGCTTTGGCTCGGTCAGCAACCCCAGCCTCTGTCTTCTGTGCCCAGAAACCTCCGTCTTAAAATGGGAAATCAGTTTTTTGGGGAGGCCTGCCACTGGTACAGAACAGCTTCCACAACTCCCGTGAAGCTCGTCCAAGAAAGTGCCGAGTTTGGGCCTGGTGCATCTGCTCCTAGAACCATTTTAGTTTTGAGTGGAGATGTGGAGATGGGTACTACTTGTGTATAATCCCGGAGTCGCATTCGGCTATCAACAGGTCGTCCGAGGTTGACTGAATGGTGACGCAGCCTATCGGCTTACAAGCCCCATGGAGCTTCATGGACCATTAAGCAGGCAAGAGACCCAAAGTTTGGCGCAGCCCATGATTTTGTTTGGGGGGCCTTCAAAACTTTCTCTTTTGGAGGTTTCCTTACCGGAGTTGAGTTGTTTCTTTTTGAGCCGCAGCCAAAACCGGCGAGCCGAAGCCTTCGGCGTTTTGGTTCGGTTGCTACGGGGCAGCCGAGCCCGGCTCGGCAGTGGGGAACAAGCGCGCAGTGATGGCCATGGAGGGCGCGAAGCGGTGCATGTTGGTGCTGCTGAGCCTTACGGTGATGTTGGTGGGCTGGATGTCGCCTCAGTATGCTGCTGGGCTGCAACCCAGGTAAGTCTCCCCTGGAAATGGTAGTCGTTTTTTTGTTTGGTTTTTCCCCTTACACCGAACCCAAACTGGGTACCCTCAAAGACAGACACAGTTTCTCCGATGCTTGCAAACTCTGCTTGCCCATTGGTCAGCCGTTTCGCTGCTCACCTTCAACCCAACCCCCAAGGCTGAACCCCTCTCCCCTGCACCTTGACAGCAAGCCATATTTTCTTCAGTAGGCGTCTTATTTTGAGGATCCATTTGCTTTCTGGGCCCAAAAGCAGTAGGGCCGTTGGGGGGGGGGGTACTAGCTGGGCTCTTTTTTTAACACCTACCCGATAAATTAGTACCCCCCCCCCCCAAAAAAAAAAGAAGAACAAAAAAAAAGAGGCATAGCATAACAGCAAGTCAGCAGTTTTCCCATCTGGCTAAGAGGATCAAAGTCCTTCAAAACATGTGATGTTTGATATATCAGTCTACCGAGGTTTGCCTTCAAGGGCAAGCACGAGAAAGCCACCCATACCCTTTAACTGCCCTCAAAACTGGCAAGCCCCCCCAACGTTCTATATTTCGTCCTTAAACAAAAAAGCCCACCAAGGACCTCAAATAGGCAAAACAGGTCCTGTTCCAAACCACCCACGGAGGGGAATTAGAGCTGGGGACGCCTCGTCATCCAGAAGTCGGATGTGTGTTTTTTCTTTTCCTCATGGGGAATGGGGCTTTGGACCTTGAAAAATGGCAACTTACCAAACCCAAACGAGAATTGTCCCACCCTCCAAAAAATGCTTGCCGATCCAGATCCCAACTGCTTCTTCCCATCTCCAAAATCCAAACTGCCCAAAAAGCAGTGGGGGAGGGGGGTCTGTCAGCTTCCCTCTGATTGGTGGGTCTGTCTTGTGTTTGGGGGGAAGCCAGAGACACATCCCACGTTGTTCCCACCTATCCAAACCACCAATTCGGGTTTCTAGGTCCCTAGTAGTGCCCTTTTACCTTTTTTTGGGCAGGGTTCCCCTGCTAAAATAGGCGACAGAAAACAGTTGTTATTCTAACCCCTTTACTGGATTCAGGCGGAGAAGTACGGGGCTTTGTCTTTGGCCGGGTTTCTTGGCACAGAACCCTTGGCAGCAGCGCTTCTGGGGCAGAGCTTTTGGGCGGTGCTCGCCATCGTGCGCCCCGGCATATTGTTTTGTCATGTCTTATTGTTTCTATCTGTTGGTTGTTTGGTTGGTGGGTTGCTTTTTCTGTTTTTGGTTATGTGTTATGTGTTTGTTTGTTTGTGTGTGTGAGTGTTTGTGTTTGTGATTGTTTGTTGTTTTCGTATTTACCTTGTTTTGTTTGTGTTGGTTTTGGCTTGGTCAATCTTAGTTCTTGTCTGCAAGCTGGATCACATGGTTTTTTGTTGGGCCAATGCAAGCCCCAAAGCTTGTGTCTATCACATCAAAGGTTACTGTAGCTGACAATGCCTGACTAGTGCATGCTCGGGATAGCCTTGGACCCCCTAAGCCCATTTGGTGGTTCAAAGTATCACCCTTTCTGACCCATCTGAGATGAGTTTGCGTGGCGATGTTTCAGGACATGTAGAAAGGGTGCCGACGTGAATGGGTTGCCGCTACACCCCGACTTGCTTGGGCCTATTGTGGGGGTGGCTTAGGCTTAAAGGGAAACAGGGAACCCCCCGGAGCCAACCCATGAATTCGGCATGGTCTTTCCCCCACTTCCATCTCAACACTTCCCAGACCTGAACGAGACAAAGAAGCAAGACCTATGCCTGGGTTGTGTGGGTTTCTCAGGACCATACTGAGAGATTGTTCGTTTTTGTTGGGAATGAATTCGTGTCCACGGGATTCCTCACGCTTTTCTCACGTCTCCCCAGCCTCGCTCATTTGCAACAAGTGGTACCCCGTGGTTTAATCCCCACTCCCGGCTGCAAACCCGGCCATACATTGCCTACACAATGCCACGTGGAAAGGTCAGTACGCCCGCCGCCTGTTCGAGTAAATTACTCGAGGGGGTTCCACTTTGGACCCAAACATAAAGGACACACGCCCTACACGGGGGATGCAGTTCACGTTCACCAACCCCCCCCCCCTGCACGAACATAGCACTAGACAACGGGCCCCTTGGAATCGATTTTCCAGGTACCCAGAGGTTGCATGACCCCAAAAAGGGTCGTAACCCCTGCATTTTCGGTAGTGACGCCCCATTTTTCCAGGGTCATGGAGACTCCGAGTACCTTCCCCAGGACGGAAGGTGGAACTTAGGGGGGGACTTCAGCCTGTCGAACTCGTCAGGCCCATGAAGCAAGGCCAGGACTGGGCTCTCGTCTTGCCGCCGCTGGGCTCCCAGTGGCTCGTGGCAGCGTTGGTTGCCACGCTCTCCATCGCCGTGCACGCCATGCCGCCTGGTCACAGTTTGGCCCCGTGACCCCGTGACCCCCCACCCACCTTTCCGGGGCCCCCCAAAGATCCACCAGCAGAGGCTGCGGGATGTTGAAAGCGCCCAAAAAGGACCAGAACACAAGGGTAGAAAATAGGTTTTGTTTTTCTTTTTATTTCGCAGGGGCCAACTGTCTCCTTCGCCAGTGTTTGGAGCAACCCTCGCCTGAAGGGTCCCTGACAAGGGCCGGTGATCGTTTTGAGGCTGATTTGTGAAAACCCTTGCGTGGAGATTGGTTTGTCATGGAGTCCTGGTAGTTCTCGGAATTATGCCAACTTTCATGATCCGCCGTGATTTCATTTCTGCGCACATGCCTGAAACTAACACTAACAGAACGCCTAGATTCCTACCAGAACGCCTAGCATTCTTTTAGATGGCCGCAAAGATTTGGAAATGCCGGATATGCAGAAATCTGTCTCAGAAGGGGCTCGTAGCCCGCTGAGCTGACCACCGGGCGACAGACGAAACATCTCGCATGCTACCGCGCCTGGGTTGCAGCGCTTGCTGGCTCGCATGATGCGGTGTGTCGGGATGAGTGGCGCGCCTAGAAATAAAGCTAATGGCCCAAATGGCCGTTATTCTCGCTTTGCAAACTAGAAAGGGCATGACCTTTGAAGGTTCAGGCAAAATCCTTCTGTCTCCGAAAGCTACTAAAACAAACCATGAAAAGGAAGGTGGTTAAAAGGAATGCCGAACTCATATCGTGGCCGGAAGGCGGGCTTCCAAGGAGGCTTGGCCCCGTGTGTTCTGTGACTCCATTGAGATTTGGCATTTAGACTTTACTGTTCAGAAGCGCTGGGTGCTTCTGGCAACGCTGCCAGCTCTCGGTTCGAGTCTCAAATGCTCAAGTATGGAAAGCTCGCCTTTGAAGGGATCCAACATGGCCGTAGGGAATGTTTGGACGTATACAATGAGCCTTCACCAGGTCACCATGCTGAGGACGAACAGCGGGTGCTTCCTATAACAATCATCGGACTCTTGCGGGGAGCAGTGTCCGCCACAGCATTGCGAGTTGCTTTTGTATTTCCATGCCACGTGACTCCTTGTCGGAATCTGACGGGACGCCTCTGCTCGCTCAGGTTGCTTCCCTTCTGAAAAAGTCCTTGTCTGGCTGCCTCAAACTCGGTCAGTTTAAGTGACATCCTCAAAATTGCCCACCTGGTCCCAAAAGTTATTTTGAGAGCCGGCACGTGGGGGCGGGCAAAGTTTCAGCTACTTGTGATTTCCCCCAAATGCACACCCAACCCCAGGTTGCCAGAGACAAACAGACCTGAGGTGACCCACCCCAAAGGGAATGTTGACATAGGATGAGAGCTTTGAGGACTGAACGTTGCAACTCAGAACTTGAGGTGGTACAAATCTTTGACCGCCACCACCCCCTCCATCAACACGCTGCTGTGGAACCTGGACATCTTGGCCGCCCTGGTGCTGGAAGCCATGGTCACCCTACAGCTTCCCACCAAGACTGCCACGCGCCTTGCCGAGATTTGTTTGCTACTCGGGCAAGGCAATTCAGCGTGCAACGCAGCCTATTCTTT